GTACGAAAGAATAATCGAGGCTTGTGCTCTGAAGGAAGACATCCAGCGGTTTCCCGATGGCGACCTAACGATTGTGGGAGAACGCGGTGAAGTTCTGAGCGGAGGGCAACAAGCGAGAATTAGTTTAGCGCGCGCAGTTTATGCTGACGGAGATCTCTATCTATTGGATGATCCACTTAGTGCTGTCGATTTCAAAGTTGGTCAACATATCTTTGAAAAGTGCATGAAAGATCTACTGGGTAACAAAGTTCTTCTTTTATCCTCTCACCATCAACAGCACATGGAAAATGCCGGCCAAGTGATTGTGTTGAACAGGGGCCGTGTGCTGGAGAAGGGACGATTCATTGAGCTACAAGAACAAGGCATAATTAGCTCAATTGTTGACCCGCATTTTAAAGCATCTATGAAGAACAACACTGAGCCATATGAGACGGTTGGGTTGGAGACTAAGGAGAAACACGATGACATTGACAAATGTCAGGAAATACTTCCCCTGCCCAATGCGGGCAAGAGTTTGGAGATAGCACCGGAGGATCGCACAATCGGAGTGGTTACATCCAAGCTTTATTGGGACTACTTCACAAGTGGAGTGCATCCCTTAATTATTATTGGAATGGGCGTTTTATTTCTTATCTCTGAAGGTAAACTAGTACCTAGACTGAGCATTTTCTCAGACTTAGATCCAAAACATTAAATGTTAAAAAAATAACCTTTTTTTCATTCCCTTTTTCTTCTCTATTGAATATTGTAATACAATTTACCTTGTAGCACTCTCAGTTCCTAGGTAAAGCTTTCCTTACGAGGAAAAAAAATTGCTAACGCAACTGTGCATCTTTGTTTGTTTGTTTTTTTTTTCAGCCGCCATAGTTGCTCCGGACTTTTGGCTCTGGTTTTTAACAGAACAAAACCAAGAGGATCAGAAAAACAAGACTTATCTTTCTATTTACGCCTGTCTTGTGAGCGTGTGTCTTATATTTACCGTTGTTCGAGCTTATGGTTTCCTCCTGATTTGTCTGAGGTGCGCCGAACGTCTGCACGATAAAATGCTTTTAGCTATTTTACAAGCACCTGTTCTGTTCTTTGATTCAAATCCCGTGGGAAGAATCCTAAATCGCTTTGCTAGTGATGTCGGCTGCGTGGATGAGCTGCTACCCAAAACATTCTTGGAAGCAGTGCAGAATCTCTTGTCGATATCCATCTTAATTCTGATATCGATTACCACAAATCCTTGGCTTTTCTTTCTTGCCTTTCCACTGACGATGATGGTAGTGTATATTTCCAAGTATTACTTGAAGACTGCCAGAGAGCTGAAAAGGTTAGAGTCGATATCCCGAAGCCCAGTGTTCTCTCATTTTTCGGAGACTCTGGTAGGACTGGTCACGATTCGCACCAGAGGAAGGCAGGCAGATTTTGTGGAGACATTTTACAGGTA